GAAATCAGTAATAGCCCTTTAAAGGTATTTAGCTTTTTTCCTATCTTTGGGTTTAAATATCTTATTGATCATTTGGTTTAACATGAGGTTTCTGGATCTGAACTTCTTTTATCCTGATTGGGATTTGCCAGGCTTTTCGAATCAGAAAACTATCTTTTATTGGTTTGGAAAAGTTCTTTTATCTCTTCAAATACAATCTTTGTTCTACTCCTTCTCTTCTCTTTCAGTCTGATAGGACATTTTACACCATCCTTCAGGTCTTTCTTTTTTATTTTTATTTTTTAATTTTTATAGCAGTGATTTTTTCCGTGGTAGAACAAATATTATAATGAAGCCCCCACCCTTCAAAAGTTATTAACATTTTCCCAATCTTAGTCATTCTTTCCAAACAGTTCTCCTAACTTCCCATTTTTTATCTAGAGTATTTTACAGCAAACCCCAGAATCCTATCACTTCAACAGAAAATAATTCAGTACATATTTCTAAAAGGTAAGTACATTTAAAATGTTATCACTTCTCTTTCTATTACCTTTCATTTTCTCCAAGCTATTTTATTGTCGCATGAATCTGGTTATTTTCTTGGAGGATTTCCACATTCTGTTTTAGCTGGCTGCACTTTTGTGCTATCATTTAACATATTCCTTTGTTCCCCAATACCTATTGTAAATTGGTAGCTATTACAACCAGTGGCTTGACTGATACCAGTTTAATTCTCTGGCAAGAATACTCACAGGTAGTTCTACGCACTTCCTATTGGTATACACCAAGAGGCACAACTTGGTATATTCCAATAGGAATACAACTGCTTGTCCAACTCTTTCTTTTTAAAATTTTTTTAGATGTCGATGGATCTTTATTTTATTCATTTATTTATATGTGGTGCTAAGAATTGAACCCACCCAGTACCTTGCACATGTAAGGCAAGTGCTCTACCATTGAGCCACAACCTCAGCCCCTGCTTGTCCAACTCTTAATGATATTTAGATTGATCAGTATTGTGAGTTTGATTCATACATCTTTCATAAAACCTTTCTCTTAATGGTTTTAGCAGCCATGCTAATTGTTTTTAGATCCGTCATTTCATTGGGGAACATTAAGTGGTGAGTTTTCTAATAAAATGATTCCTTCTCTATTTTATGGCCAGAATTCTTACATGGGGAAGAACCTTTTCTCATCAATTATTTAATTATATTGGAATATAGCTTATAAACAAAAGTCAGGATAAAATTTTTTACTTTTTTATCAACATACAGAATAATGAGTGCTCTAGCAATCTCCCAAGGCATCTTTTTTGACAATATCATTATGAATTCATAAATTTTTTCATATTTGGTATATTTCAATAGATATTATCGTATATTTGTTCTTTTGTATTCTGTAAACATGCTTCACTGTGTCCAACATTCAATGTTACTAAAGTATAGATGTCAAAAGCCTTTCCTTTACAATAATCTTTGATATTCAAAAATACTACTAGGACATGCATAGGTTGGAATCTCATTCCATTTTCTAGCCTGGTACTTGTTAGACCTTTTAATCTAAAGACTAAAGTCTTTCCTCAGTTCACATAAACTCTATTTTTTCTCTGATAAAATGATTTTTCTTCCATCTGTTCTCACATCTATAACCCCTATTATAAATATAATGAACTTCCTGACTCTACCTTTGTTTTATCCTAAAATTTAATCTCCTCATCTTTTTCCTTGAATTCTAAAGATAATTTTTCAAGTTTACCTTCTAATTCATTAATTTGAGGTTCTGCAATATATCATCATCTGTTTATAATTTCAAAATAATATTTTTACAGCAATAACTCTTCTCAATTCTCAAACTCTTCTCAATTCCCATTACCCTTTACTATTAAAAAGAAATCCAAACCTACAGGAACGCTACAAGTACAATACAATAAAAACCTAATGGTTTACCTATCTTTATCTAGGTTCACCCATGATTAACATTTTCAGATCATTATTTTTGGTGACAGTGCCTCCTGTTTCATTTTTATTAACAGAATGGATGGTCAAGTCACCCTAAGAAAATTAAATCTTTATTTTGTTTTGTTTACATTTTCTTTCATTTCTGTTCTAAGTTCATTTTAAAGAAGGACATTTGTTCTGATAGCAAAGACTGGTCTCCCTTTTCAACCAATTTTCTAATAAAATAATTCCTTATTTGTAAAACCTAAAAAGGTGCTCATTTTAGGGTTTGTGCATAATAGTAAGAGTGAATATCTTCTTAAGAATGCAGCACCTATTGCCAAAACTTATAAACAATAACTCTGGTTTGTGCAAGTATAGAATTTGTACTTGTATGCCCCCCAAAATTAGGAACATGTTAAATTTTATGTTTTATTGCCTTTCTTTCCTCAACCCAGTCCAAGACCTACCGTGCACTGTGATGTAGAGGTCTTTACATTTTTGTTTTGTTTCTTACTCTTATAGGGTGAAGTTTATTAGTAATGGAATTTTAGAAGGGTTATGATATAGTTTGTATACATTATACATCTGTTCAAATACTTCAGATAGATTTCTCCTCCTCATGAAGAGTGAGTATTGCAACTTCCACATTTATCATCAATAATGTATCCTAAAATGGTCTACTAACATACAACAGTAGTACCCAGTTTGCCATTTTCTGTTGTTTAGTCTTCATAAAGCATTTAGGCAAATAAGTCAAATTTGTAAGCCATTCTTCATCATTAAATAGTTACCTTATTTAGTTACATAAATAGTTACCTTATTTGGGTTATTTTCCTAAGAAAGGACATTTGGTCTCCATAAAGAAAAAAAAATAGTATTCAATCCTCAATTATAAAACTGTGACAGAATCCTTAAAATTCAATTATTTTAGAATATGTTGATATCAAAGATCTACCTTTCAAAAGCAAACTTAAATTTACTCTATAAATCTGTTTTTAAAAGCTAATAGTTCAATCAGGGTTTTAAAATTTTTTTCACATTTTATTTTTTTTCACTACACACTGAGAAAAATCAAGAGGCACATTCTTAGAGGAGTTCTCTATGGTAAGTTGTTGCTTGTTCTTTAAATTTGCAAAGATCTGTGAGTTATTCATACTGCATATTTGTCCATCAGATATGCCCCTTTTGTGCACCAGGGTGAGTCAAAGAGTGCCTGGAATCAAAAATTTCAGAGAGCATGCACCCTTGGGGTGTTTTAAGTGTAGAATCTGCACTTGCACCAACCCAAGAGGAAGTACCTCTTAAATGCCCTGTGGATCTCTCTCTTGCCTTGCTCTACTCTGGGCCCTGCAGTATAAATGTTCAAATATATTTTAGAATTGATACTACATGTGACAAAAGGGGGAAAAGAGAAATGTCCCTCCATTTCCTCACCAATAATCCTATGCTCTAAAAATTAACGTCTCTTCAGATATCATTATATAAATGTAGAAAGCTGAGCTATAACCTCAGCCCTTTTTATCATTTAAGACAGGGGCTTGCTAAATTGCCTAGGCTGGCTTCTAAATTGGGATCCTCCTGCCTCAGTCTCCTGAGTTGCTGGGATTACAGGCATGCACCATGATACCTGGCTATGTTCGTTACATACTTTTTTTTCTCATTTAATAATGTATTAGCAATTATTCTATTTTATTCTACTTTATTCTACTCTATACTTTTTAAGAAATAGGGGACTTGCTGTGTTGCCCAAGCTGACCTCAAATTTCTGGGCTCAAGCAAGGCTCCCAAATAGCTGGGACTACTGGTATGTGCCACCATGCTAAGCTTACAGTTTTATAATTTATTTTTTCAGCTGTGTTTAACTTACTATCCAAATTAACTTCAAGTCAAAAAAAGTTACTGTGGATTTGACTGTGTTTTTGTTCTCTGTGAGCATCGTGAGACATTTTCCAGGTGAGGCATGGTGGTACAACCAATCTGTCAATAAACATAATTAATTCCACAATATATCTGCAATGGAACATCATTCTCAAAGTAATGTAATATTTTTACATTACACATAGCTATTACATATTTCACTACCAGAGAATCTAATCATCATAGAAGTAATGTTACTACAGAAAATTATACTATAGTTCCAACTTGGAATCAGAAATACCTCTGTAGAGGTATCATGACACAGTGGGAAAAGCATGTGTTTTATGCTTGAAAAAGACGAATTTTATTCCTAGCACTGTCATCATTACTTTTATCACTTTGTGCAAATTACTTAACTGAGGTTCAGTTTCTCATATGTAAGACAGAGATAACGGTATATATTTCTCATGTTGTTTTGTGGATCAAATCCGTTAAGGAGACTAGAGAAGAGGGATGGGGCAGGCAGAAGGCAATAAGAGACTGGAGATTCAGGAAGACACAAAATAGGTACAGGTATTCTTGATGGTCAGAATGGATAAGAAACCTAAATAGCTTCCTGATTCTGACTAGTGCCGAACCTGCCTATACTTTTGTTCCTATAGGTATTAGAATTAGCCACCTCCTTTGCTTTATATTTCAACTATTTGCTCCTTTCATTTAGAGTACCCCCTCATCCCTTTCTGTAGCCAACTGCATGACATAATTTATCCTTAGATCCTTCCTAAAGTCATAGATTTAAAAAACAAAACAAAACCCTGTTATCAAAATAAAGGAAATTGACATCTAAAATGGCAGAATGAGGACCTCAGTAAAATCATTCTTCCTTTAAAACAGTAAAAATACATATAAATAAAATCAACTAGTTCAGAACTGAGTTAACAAAAGCCACAAAATGAACTAAAAAATTGCCTATCCAAAAGAAACTACTGAAACTTGACTTAAAGTGGCAATACTGAAATTCAATAAAGCATTTCTCTGCATTGAATCTTAATGTTTATAGTACAATTGTCAAAGAATAACTTCTATATCAGTATAAGTTGTCCCTTCTGCCTAGATGCTTCAGAATATCCTTCCTTTAAGGAACCAATCCTATAATTATAATGATCTTCTTCCTTTAATGTCAAAGCAGCATTTTAAAAACAAATCTCAGGACGGCGGCTGTACCTCAGTGACAGAGTGTGTATTTAGTACATTCGAGGTCCTGGGTTCAAACCCAAACACCTAAAAAAAAAAAAAAGGCTTAGTGTGGTCATACGTGTTTGTAGTCCTAGCACTTGGGAGGCTGAGGCAAGAAGATGGCTTAAACCCACAAATTCAAGACCAGTCTGAGCAACATAGCAAAACCGTGTCTTAAACAAACAAACAAACAAACATATATTAACCCAAACTATCCCATCCAAACTGTACTATAAATGAATAGTTTTGCAAACATATATTTTCTTCCTTTTTTAAAAAATTTATTTTTTTATTTATATATAACAGCGAATTCATTACAATTCTTTAGAGCTCAATTTTTCACATCTCTGGTTATATACATAGTATACTCACACCAATTTGTGTCTTCATACATGTACTTTGAATAATAATGATCATCACATTCAACCATCATTAATTACTTCATGCCCCCTCCCTTCCCCTCCCACCCCTGTGCCCTATCTAGAGTTTGTCTATTCCTCCCATGCTCCATCTCCCTATCCTACTATGAATCAGCTTCCTTATATCAAAGAAAACATTCAGCATTTGGTTTTTTGGGATTAGCTAACTTCACTTAGCATTATCTTCTCCAACTCCATCCATTTACCTGCAAATGCCATGATTTTATTCTCTTTTATTGCTGAGTAATATTCCATTGTGTATATATGCCACATTTTTTTAATCCATTCATCTATTGAAGGGCAAATTGGGAATGGAACCATCATTTGACCCAGCTATCCTTCTCCTCGGTCTATACCCAAAGGACTTAAAAACAGCATACTACAGGGACACGGCCACATCAATGTTTATACTAACACAATTCACAATAGCTAAATTGTGCAAACATATATTTTATTATAGTATAATATAGATTTACTTTTAAATTTTACTTTTAAATTTTCAAAAATAGCTAACAGTGACTTTTGCTAATTCAAATTTCAACTGCATGGAGGAAAAAGAGCAAACATTAATACATGCTGTATTAAGAGTAATATCCTACCTTAGGAGAAGTAGAGAGATCTCTTCCTGCAGAAACAACTGTGTTTTCATTTACTCCTCCTGTCTTTGGTGAGAGAACTGGTGGAGGTGGGGCCCTTCGTTTCACTCTTCTTTCAGTTTCCAGTTCTTGAAATGGATTTACCAAATTATTTGGAGAAGTTGGTTTAGGCTCATAAAAAGGATTTGATCTAAATGAAATCAGAATTATTGTTAAATGTCTCTCAAATTATTTCCAACTAAAAATATATATATGTACTGAAAACTATAATGTTTTGTGCAAATAAACCCAAACCAGAAAGTCTTACAATCAGAACAATGGCTATTAATCTTTGGGTCCATTTCTATCTAGACTTAAATAAAATTTGCCACTTTAAAAAGATGTTAAATACTAGGTCATGCTCAACTTCAACTACTACAAAACAGAACCTTAAAAAATGTATTATTTTCAAAAAAGGAGATCCTATCTATTCTTGATAGTCTAGGAAGAGGAAATAAGATGTGGAAATGTTGATTTACTTTCTTTTTTATGCTTCACTCCCATTTTTTTTTTCTTCTTGAATTTAATCCCTGCTTTTGTGTCAAATTCTCTTCTCTTTAGAGAACTATCTTTCAGTGGTTCATTCAGCAAAGTACTGTCAGTAAATTCTTCCAGGTTTTGAAAGTATCTTTCAATCTCACACTTAAATGAAAATTTAGTGATTAATTCAGTTATATGAATTATTTGGAAGATAATTTAAATAATTATTTCTGTTTAACAAATTTCCATATTATTTTGTAAGATGGTAGCTCCTATAATAATCATTATTATTAATTTATTATGTAGACATGAATGGTTTTAAGATAAACCTAGTTATTTTAGAGTATAGACTGCTTATATTACAAAAAGATGTGCTTAACAAGGAAAATAAATCAGAATTCTTTTAAACAGACAACTTTTTGGTATGCTTTATACAGATGAATTTATACAACTCAATTTGCATAAAACTTCCATAACCTTATCTCATAAGTATAGCAAGGTATCTCAAAATATTGACCTTTTATTTCATGCTTTCTCTGCCAAGTTCTACTCACTACATCTCCCTCTAACCACTGGTATTATTTGCATAGGGAAAATAAACACAAGTAGAAAAGAAGTCCAGATCAACTATTTCCAAAGTTGGTTCCTAACATTTATGTTATTAAAAACAATCCAAATAGACATTTGTTTTGTTCTTGTTTTTGCAGTGCTAGGGACTGAATGTACGGCCTGGTATATAACGGGTATGTGGTCTATCACTGAGTTACAATCCTCTGCCCAAAACAGACATTTTCTTGAACGAATTAGAGCTGTGATTCTCAATGTTTTTATATTATGACATATACTGAAAATGAAATTTGACATAACAAAGAAAGCTGCTTGAAATTAAAAGTGTCAGGAACTTTAGCTGCCCTTGACTGTGCCTGGCCATCAGGAGGACTACGAAAATCACTATCTTTATACATCCATAATTTGCCTGTGAGACAACAGTGTGCTAGGCACCACCACTGATTAGCTGATAAATCAGAGTAAGGATAAAAGTCCTTTATGAGTTTTCAGATCCTTCCCTTTATAATTCAGAAAGCCCTAAATAAAAATGAATATTCCACTCAAGAATGAACAGCAAATGTTTCCATTTACACGAAATGTCCATATCTATGGTCAAATTCATAGATAAATACAGCAGATTAACGCAGAGGATGGAGGAACTGGGGAGTTGGGACTAACTGCTAACTGCTAAGAGGTATGGAACTCCTTGTGTTAATGATAAAAATGTTATGGTATTAGGCAGTAGTGGTGATCATAAGACACAGCAAATATACCAAAAACACCTGCAGTATACATTTTTAAATGTGTAATTTAATGTTTTAGAAAGTATGTATATCTCAATATAAAAAAGTACTACACTAAGAACAAGTGAACAGGAACAGTGTCTACAAAAAGTATTATGTGAATATACCACTTTCTCTACAAAATGAAAATAGTGATATAACTGCTGATAAATACATTTAATATACATGGCATCACACACATTTTGGTTGACAATGGACTGCATATACATGGTGGTCTCAAAGGATTATATCAGCTAGTGCCATTTTGGCCATTTTTGTTTGTGTAAATACATTCTAGGATGCTGGTTCAATGACAAAATTTGCTAATCAAGTATTTCTTAGACCATGACTATATTCTTAAGCAGTACTTTACATGAGGAAATTTAAGGATTTAACACAATTTCCACATCTTGTTGATCATTTATGATTTAAATAATCTATTTCAGGACTTTCCACATTACTCTGAATAAAAATAAATTATTTTCATCTTTGAACTGTAAACCTGAGTGATATATTAGTTAAAACATTAATGCACTGTGAGTTTAAAATTCATGTTATATTAAAGAAGTTGGATAGAATGCTTTTAAATGATATTATTTATTGTTTGGATATTCATCCAGGAAACCCCCATACAGTTTTTAATTAGTAATGAGATTTCAACCTGGGTTTGGAATCAGAAAGTAAAACTAAAGTTGGTTAGAAGCAGAATTAACTAAAACATACTGGAAATATTACACTATGAAGCCAGGGTAAAGAGAAATCTGTAGTCTTTTCCTCTCATCTTGAAAATCTATTGTTTCTTTGGAAAAACAATTCAAATTTATCAAAATGAGTATATACCTTCTCTGAATAAAATTCCATGAGAGGCTTGAGAAACTGACACAGCAACATCAGAAATGTCTACATGTGGGTCCTCAAAAGTTACTTAAAAATTCTAATATAATATTGCTTTATCAGTTTTCTTTTCACTAAATTGGAATAGCCAAACTGTCTACCAAAGCCAAGAAAAGTGAGAAACCAAACAGTTGCTAAGTGTAAAGAACCGATGCTAAAGAGCAAGGAAGGTATATATTTTTCTTTTGGTACTGATGGGAGATGTTTTATACATCAAAATACTCAGTACTGTTTATTTGTGGAAAATTCTATATTGGGGCATACGGAACAGTTTAATAATAGAAAATGAGTCACAGAAACTTTTCACTTGATAAAAAGTTGTAAGTTATAACTGAAGTAAGAATAAATTTTGGACGATTTCTGTCACTGATATGGGACCTATAAACTTTTGGAGATATATGAACACCAAATAAGTAAGTAATGCAAACCAAATTCTTCCTGGACTTGCACATTAGCTGATGTGAAATCTTTAGGACTTCTGTGTGTATTCCTTAAAAAAAAAGAACCAAAGAAAGAAAGAAATAGCTGTTTATAGGCTCCCTCTAGTAACCGCAAATGATTGAGCAATTTAGCAGGCTCTTTTATTCATGGGAAACTTGTAAAGACTGTGACTTTCATGTTAAAAAAAAAAAGAATGGTCAAAAGGAAACACCCACTGATTCTGATTTTAGTTTTTATTAAGGCATTTTAAAAGTTTAAGCAAACATTAGCTGTCTCTTTAATTTGTTAATAGGAGAGAGCAGGGTGTGTGTGTGTATTGTGTAATATTCATACATCTTGGAATGACTGAAAGATATTTAAAGTTTACATTTACATTCAAATATTCTAGGTGTGTGGCTATTACTCAGCACCTACACCACCCATGAGAAATTTTATTTATTACACATTAGCTATTTCAAAGGAAACAAACAATACATTGGCAAGAGTTGAGCCAACCTTTAAACCCCCATACAGTTTTTAATTAGTAATGAGATCTCAACCTGGGTTTGGAATCAGATTATTATTAATAATGTAATTCTGAGTATTTATGGAGGTTAGAACTTTTTTAGCTTTTACCAAAACATAGCTATACCCAGGGAGGCGTGTAAAACACGTGAGAGTCATGACATAGTATTGTAAAGTAGGAAAAGATTGAGAAACACAGTTCCAGAACAATAGAAAATAAATCAACTCCCTTACTCTTTCAAATAAAAGTCATAAAATATTTGAAGTTAGTCACTATAGTTTCCTAAAATCATCTCTTTTCTAAGTCCAACAGTCCCTGTGCTCTTAATCATTGCCCATTCAACTGGTTAGAAGCCTGGATAAAGCAAAACAAGACAGGCAAATTGGTCTTTCTCTTTTCTGCAGCTGGGAAACAAACATTCTTCTCCTGGCCTTGGCATCAGAGCACCAGGTTCTATGGACTCTGAACTCCAGGACCTACACTAGTGGCCTCCCAGGTTATCAGGCTTTTAGACTTACACTGAGCCATGTTATAGGCATCCCCCAAGTCTCTAGCTGCAAATGATGATCTGTATTGGGATGTCTTAGTCTCCATGATCATGTAAGCCAATTCCCTTAATAATTTTCTCTTTCTCACCCGCATCTTCTGCCTCTCTCTTTCCTGCTTGTTCTGTATGGCCATATAATCCAATACATCACTGAATCTCAGATCAAATGAAAAGAACTCATACCTTTGAATATATGGTCATAGAATTTTGCTCAGCAATGTTTTGCTGTTTTCATTGTATAGTAATTGTCCACCTTCAAATGTATTCCTGATTTTTAGAGGATACTTTTGTAACTTTCTTTTTTTGATGCTGGGGGTTGAAGCCAGGACCTCCACCACTAAGCTATACCCCTAGACCCTTTGAGTGTATCTTTTAAAAAAAAATTCTAATTATTATTTTTTTAAATTTAAAATGTCCTTTTTTGAGTGTTCAATATCACTACAGAGAAAAAATTAAATTTGTATATTAATCTTGTATCTATAACCTTATTTAGTTTTCAGTTCCAGAAGCTTTTTTGGAGACTCTCATGATTTTCTACATAAAAAATTTAAGTTATCTGTGAAAAAAGTTTGTTTTCAAGTAATCTTATATATGAGAAGCTTAAAACAGTATCCTTTAATTTCCCCACTCAGTTTTTACAACTGTTATACTATCATACTTTACTTTTACATTTTATAAAACTTAGCATACATTATTATTTAAGGCTTAAAACAATTATCTTTTTAAAACAAAAATATTTTAAAATAAGACAAACATTTTATACACACACTTGCCATTTCCTATGTCTTCATTCCTTTGTCATTTTCCTCATGCATAAAAGACTTTTTTTGCCTTAAGTATATATATATATATATATATATATATATTTTTTTTTTTTTTTTTTTTGCAAAGCAAACCAGATAATAAAGAATTCATTCAGCTTTTGGATATATGGAAAAGTCCATTATTTTGCTTACCCTTTCCTGCCCCCTTTTCTTGACTGGAAATAGAAATTTGTGTTGACAAGTTTTTGATGTTTTCTTTCAGAACTTTAAAAATGTTACCCTACTGGCTTACAGTTTGGATTGTTTTTGTTGAGAAACCTTCCTATGATTTTCTTCATGTTTCTTGTGCTTGGGGTTCATTAGGTTTCTTGGACCTAATAGGTGCATCTATTTTTTAATTTCTAAAATCCTTTGGCCAATATTTTTCAAATTTTGTCAAATATTTTTTCTATTTCCCTTTCTCTCCTCTCTTTCTAGAATTTCAATTATACAAGTTAGGCCACTTGAAGTTGTCCCACAGCTTACCAATCCTCTATTCATTTTTCTTTCCCATATGTTTCATTCTGGGTGGTTTCTATTCCTATGTCATCAGGTTCACTAATATTTCTGTCTTCTGTATGTAACACGGGATTAATCCCATACACAGTATTTTTCATCTCAGACTTTGTATTTCTCATTTCTATGAATTCAATTTGGATTTTTAAAATATCACCCATGCTCTCTGTTTTCCTCCACCTTCTTAAATATTTGGAATATATTTATGCTTACTTAATAGTTCCATCACTTGTCCCACTTCTGCATCCAGTTAATGATAAACTTTTCTTCTCATTATGGGTCAGATTTTCCTGCTTTTTATACATGCCTACTAATTTTTTATTGTCCTTGTGAATTGTGTTTTAAATTTATACACACATACACACACACACACACACACACACACACATTCCCTTAAATATTTTGAGCTTTGTGTGGGATGCAGTTAAATTACTTGGAATTACTTTGATCTTTTGAACCTTGTCTTTAAGCTTGTCAGGCAGATCCAGAAAAGTCTTTGTACTGAGGCTAATTTGGTCCTACCATTGAGGCAATATCCTGCTGAGGACTCTAATTGATGCTCCATGTGCTGTCTTCTCCCCTGGGTAATGGGAACACTAACTATTCGTGGTCTTAGGTGGACTCCAGGGATTATTATGTCTGTTTCTTTGTCCTTGGTAATTTTTTTCTGATCAATACTCAGCTAAAGACTCAAAAATATTCTATAGATCTGTGAAATTCTGTAAGTAGCTCTTTCCTCTCTGGTACTCTGTCCACATATTTTAGCCACTCTATAATCCTCAAAGACCAAATTCTGTCTCTCCAATTCAGGGAGATTACTCCATAAGTAAGACTGGACAACTATAGGACTCTTCATCTTTGTTTCTATTCTCTCAGAACTCCCTGTACCATCCAGTTTATGCCCAATGTCTGAAAACCAGTACTTCACATAGTTTATTCCATTTTTTAGTTGTTTAAGACAAGAGGTACATCTAGTCTGTGTTATTCCATTAATGCTAGAATTTGAAGTTTCGTTGTCATTTTTTTTTTTTTTGTACCAGGGATCCAGGGATTTAATACAAAGGTGCTGAACTACTGAGCTGTATCACCAGCCCTTTTTATTTTTTTATTTCAAGACAGGGTCTCACTAAGTTACTTAGGGCCTCACTAAGTTGCTGAGGCTGGCTTTGAACTTGCTATCCTCTTGCTCAGTCTCTCAAGCCACTAGGATTACAGGCATGAAACACCATGTCTAGCTTGTTGTCACTTTTTAAAATATACTCATGGTCATGGTCTACAGTCACACAGATTGTGCACTGTGCAACTCTAGATCACAATGTGAATATATTGTCTTTTTATCCCCAATCTATATTTGAGCAATATGGCAGTGTTAATCATACTGCCTATTCATCTGAAGCTTATAATAGAATCTGATTTATCAATGTTTGGATCTTGAAAAAGTCTTTCAATGTTTGGCACTTGAAAAAGTCTTCTCATCAAATTACTATCATAAATGACTAATTTGGATCCCACAGCAAAACTATAATATAACATTCAAGTGTAATGCTTACGCTATTCGATAAAAAACCTACCTACCATTTGTAATATGGTTTCTATGAGATGATACAATTAAAATTTCAACAAGAGATTCCAGGAACACATCTCCCTCATTTGTTAGTTTAGAGTACTCACATAATCGTATGGAAGAGGGTCGGAGAATAAGGGTTAAGACTATAAAAATTCAGATCAGGAATGAGCTATACAGAAATTTATATGTATTTATAAAATACATATTAAATTTATAAAATACATTTTTACCCATCCAAATTTACATTACAAAAGGATCTCTTTAATTACTATAGAAACTGAACTGTGGTAATAGCAAAATGAAATATACTTACTCATCCAATTCTTCTTCAGTTTTAGAACTATCAGCATAGAGGTACTTGCTCATGTCCACAGGTCTTATATTTTTTCGTTTTGTAGACGAGGGAGGAGAATCCTTTATAGTTACAAAAGTTTCTGGCTCATCAAATGGGTTCAAATATTGTGGAGTCTGTACATCTTTAAAGGGATTATAACTGTTATTATGAAAAGATTCTTCTGTTTTTTTAGGTGAAGCTGTTTCAGTAACTGGGTCTATAAAACGATAGCAAGAGATGAATTAAACTAATAGCATATGATATTTACATGCTATTTAAAAAAATTTTTAGTTGTAGATGAACATAATACACTTATTTATTTATTTATTTATTTATTTATTTATTTATTTATTAGTGTGGTCCTGAGGATTGAACCAAGTACCTCACATGTGCTAGGCAAACGCTCTACCACTGAGCCACAATCCCAGACCCTATATGATATTTTTAATGTTCTTTCTTTCTTTCTTTTCTTTTTTGCACCAGGAATTGAACCCAGAGGCATTTAACCACTGAATAATTAATTAATTTAATCTCCAGTTCTTTTTACTTTTTTATTTTGAGACAAGATCTTGCTAAGTTGCTGAGGCTGGCTTTGAACTCAAGATCCTCCTGCCTCAGCCTCCCAAAGCTGCTAGGATTATAGGCATGCACCACTGCACCTGGCTTTAACGTGTTTTCAAAGACGGGAATCTTGAATTAATAAATTACAGAGCTCTCAGAGCACAAAACAATAATGAAACAAGAAATTCCTTTTAGAGGTGTTAAGGAATTCTGAAGTTTAGAAAATGTAATATTTAAGATCTCTGTCTACCTCTCTAGGAATGGTGTTCACAAAAAACGACATCTCTGGATAGTTAATGTTTCATGACAGTAATCAGAGTCTCTAATAGTATCAGCATTATGGTACCTCAATTTTGGAAATTTTCAACTTCTTATCAGTGCAATATTATTTATCTCACTATACTAGCTTATCATCACAAACTGCAATGTAATAAATTTGTTTAAAAGAATATAAAATGGATTAAATTTTAAAATGGTCTTGGTAATTATACCAGAATATTTAGGTATCCAGAAATTCATTCTAGACTATATAAAAAATTCATACATGTATCCCTGGACTTCTTTTTTGAAAGTTCTGTATGCTATAAAACCTTAAATCTTTCCCCCCCCCCTGCGGGTGCTAGGGATTGAACCCAGGGACTTGAACACACTAAGCACATACTCTCCCATTCTATATTACCAGACCCCATTCTTAACCTTTAGAGCTTTTAATGAAATAATTTTTAAAATATGAATCCAATTAATACTCTAATAAGAATAACATAAGGATCCTCAGGTTGAATTAAAGTTGTATTAAAATCATACTGGTAAGGTGATAGATGCGTCACACTAAATCCTTCAATATTTTATTATTTAAATTTTCAATTTGAAAACAAATTTGCATATAGGTTTTGTTGACAAAAATAAATGGTCCCAGCTATTTGAGAGGCTGAGGCAGGATTATCAAAAGTTTAAGTCCTGCCTGAGCAACTAAGTAAGTCTTGGCCTCAAAATAAAAAGGGTTGGCAAGGTAGCTCAGTGGTAGAGTGCTTGCTTAGCATGTGAAAGACCCTGGGTTCAATCCCTAGTATGGCCTAAATACATACATATTTTTCCATATTGGATAAAAGTTTCAGAAAGCCAATAATCATAGTACACTAAAACTAATTTTAATTATGCCAGGCAACTCCAACAAAATATTTTAGTAAAAAGCAAAAAACTGGTCAGTGAATTCAAGAAAAATCACAATTATTTCCTAAGTGATACTTCAAGCAACTTACTCTATATTACAGAAACATTCATGATTGACATATATTAATGATTTTTGATTGACTGATTTGAAACAGGGTTTTTCTATGCTGCCTAGGCTACTCTCAAATTCCTGGTCTTCAGTGATCTTCCTGCTTCAGCCTCCCACATAGTTGAGATTACATGCAGATGCCATCATGCCTACCCTAGTGACTTTTATATTTTAAAGTGAAACAACTTATATTTTAGACATTAGTCCAGAAATTTTATTTTATCGTTCTATTGAAGAAAAATAAAACAAAAACCCTCAACTGAAATTCTGTATACCATGTAGAACCTATTATAAAGTATAAAAGATTTCATAAAATCATATTATTGATTTAAAATCCTAATAAATTAATACTAAAATGAGTTAAAAATTGACTACATTAAAAAGATTCAATAACTGTGTTATTTTTTGTAATACCATCATAATATTCAAACATCATTAAAATCTTCATAGTAATGTAAATGGAGCATTTTCTGTTCTCCATAGGGGAAGAGAATATGCAATTTTGCCTATTCAATTTTTTATTATCAAATATGAGGACTCAAATGCTTAAAAGCTGACAAAACTTGTCAATGGAAACAAACTGTTTACTTCTACTTTCAGGAAAAGGACTGCAAAAATTGATCCAAGTAAATCATCATTTTTTGGTTACAAAAGAAAGTATAGAAACTACAGAACAAGATTTGAAGATGACAGTACAAGTAACAAAGGAGGGTAAGTTTAAGATTATTTCATATAAAAGTTAACAAATACATTTAATGACTTTCTAAAAGGGTCACTGACGTACATAAATATAAGGAGAACTGAGGATGTAACAGCCATAAAGCCCAAAACAAACAAACTAAAAACAGAACTATAATACATTTTTTTCTTCCCCAAATATTTTGGTTACTTGAAGATGAAAGTTTTTAATTGATGAAAAAAAAAATAAATTATTTCTAGGAAAATATTTTTCTAAAAGAAAGTACTAAGTACTTATTTCAAAGACATAGGCATATGTTTAAAGAAAACAGTGATTGCTACATGTCTTTTTAGCTCTGTAAGCATAATTAAAGATATTGAATCAGGTTGGTTTGCTTTGTCTAAACAGAAATAAAATCTTATGTGTTTTCTGAAGCTACTTTCTATTTCAGAAAACAGATCCACATATATTTAGAAAGCATATTTGATTGAAATGGAAAGTTCAAATACTGATGTTTCAAAATATTTTCGTAATTTTATCTTTTTAACACAGTACTCAGATGTATGCACTATGACATGCAACCATGAAAGAAGCTTTGTGGTCAAAAGAAGATGCTTGTTTGGGAATCTTAGTTCTAATTTCCAAGTACATTTCCCTCAAATTAAAATCACTTCACTCCTCTGAGCCTCAGTGTCCTAATTTATCTTTAAAATTTATCTTTATTAAGATTTAAAATATGTTCATAATACATAGTCCACAAAAATCTTATTAATTTGGAAGCTAGAAAGAAGAGAAAAGGTAAAGGAAGAGAAGGAAAGAATTATGAAACAATATTGCTCTAACAGAGTAAATCCTGAAGCTGAACTCATTTTCATCATGATAAGCAGTAGAAGAATTCTTTAAAGCTCATGAAGATTTCATAAGAGCAGTCAAAAAGATGTAAACAGTGGTTAATCATTCTTGCATTTACTTCAAGCAAAGAGTTTAATTTAAACAGAGGTCTCACTTCTTCAACAGTCCTTATCCAGGCTTGAAGAGTTCAAAACTCTTAAATAGGAGTTTTGATAAGAAAAGAGACTGGTGGCAGCAGTGGGGACCCCTGATTTTACTCTTTATAAGTATGCTGTATATATGACGGCAGTGTTTTTTAACTTTCTCTGCTCTGTGCCATCACATACATAACTCACTCTATTAACTGTAATTTTTCAGCCAAAGGCATGAGTTAGCAGTAGCTAAATGTTCAGATGCTCTGAACACGAGGGTGGAAGAGTGGTATAGAGGATCTACCTCTATTATCTGACTATCAGAATTCCCCAAAATCTGACCTCACTTGGTATGCCTAACAAATGACTATATGTCCGCTAGGTAAAAAACTATTATCTATAACATTAGACTTTTACTAACTGTTTAACCAAATAAGAACTAAAAATAAGCAAATATCTAGGTAAGGCTTCATTAGTTTTTATTTAAAAACAATTCAATGGAGACTACCTAGAATTAACGATCAACTGCAAATGGTATTGAACACAATATTATTTAATCAAAAAATCACCTTTTGAGTCTTTTAAGAAAATCTTTCCCTGCCCTTATTTATAGTTCATGAAAACTTGACTATACAAAGACTGTACAAGTATAGAAAGATTTCCTAAGGGAGAGACATGAATTACAGTAGATGGGGTAGAGAGAGAAGATGGGAGGGGAGGGGAGGGGGGATAGTTGAGGATAGGAAAGATAGCAGAATACAATAGTCACTAGTATGGCAATATGTAAAAACGTGGATGTGTAACTGATGTGATTCTGCAATCTGTATACGGGGTAAAAATGGGAGTTCACAACCCACTTGAATCAAATGTATGAAATATGATATATCAAGAGCTTTGTAATGTTTTGAACAACAAATAAAATAAAAAGAAAGACTTCCTACCTTCTGAGTTAGGATCTCCAAATGGATTTAAATCTACTACATCGGGATCATCAAATGGATTTGAATTCACAGTCACCAGGTCCTTTTCTGCTTCATCCAAAAAGTTAAGTTTGTTGATAAGCTCTGAAAAATAAGCATATATGTTAGCGCACTATAATTATGGTAAAGTCTAATTATTGATCATTCATGAAACATTTCAAATTTTAAAAATTCACATTAATAATACCTGCAAAAATGAGATACAGCATTTTAACAATGGCAGAATGCCATTCAAGCATTTTGTAGTATACCAACATTTCAAAATAAAAACAGATATTAACTTGAAAATTTATCAGATAATGAACTAAAGAAACTTTCATTATATTGAATTTGATTCAAATTAAAAAGTGCTGATAAAGGTTTTTAGAATATATAAGCTCACTGAAATATTGTCATATGATCAAGTATGTTTTTAAATCATTATTAAGCATTCTGATATAATACTTTGTTAAAGATGATAAATTTTGTTATCTTGTTGGCTGTTGATACACTACAAATTACCAAAGAAAACATTTAAAAAAAAAAAAAAAGCAAAAAGACAAAACCGACAGCTAAGTTCAGACAGAAGTCAAGATGTAGCAAGTCACAGTAAATATAGGCAATCAGAAGCAGAAAGAAAGGAGGAAAGCTCTTAGACCTTCAGAGGAACTGGCTGATTTAGCTGAAGGCATATTTGCTTGCTTTATGCAGTCATCTTGATCTTCATCTAAGCTGCTCAGAGCATTCAACTGGTTTACAATTTCTGTAAACAGAAGCCAGTCAAGACAAATGTAAGGTAAGGTCATTTAATTAAAAAGCAGTAGAAGCATGCTGTTACTCAAAAAGACAGAGGAGATGTTTGGTTAATCAATAGAATACATTCAGAGATGTTATTTTGATGAACTATAACAGATATAATCAATTGAATGTTACATTGTACTCACATTTTAAAATACAAAGCATTTTATTGTTAAAATTTGTATTAGTAATATATTAACTGTTAATAGACACAAAAATAAATAACCCAAGAGTTAACATTGACTTTCAGCAATCATATTTTTTGTATTTGTAAAAACGAATTCTGCTCTAAACATATACATCAGAAACAAAAATTTTAAAAATCCTGATATTCACCATTTGCTTCAGATATTCTAAATTTAAACTTAAAGGTTTTAAGAATATATATACATGAGTCATGTATATAATATGCAATCATTCTTGCTCTAGAATTGAAAAATCAGCACTAAAACAATAAAAGCAAGCAATAGTTACTGTTTCTACTCCTGTTTTGTAGAGAATTTGTTCTTTTAAGTCAATTCTAAGTATCTGCTTTAAGAATTTTATAATTTAGTCAATAAGAAAACAAAAAGACAAAGAGAAAAATTTAAATAAAACAATTTTGTGTATAAAAATGTTTTAAATGAGTCATATATATTTTGAATAACTCTGACTATGTGAAACTATCATTCACTGGGTAAAAATTAGATAACTTGTAAACAAAAGAATAAATGCCTTAGTATTCTAGATAGCATACTTAGAATACATTAGTTAATCCTTGATGTTTCCAAAGTTAACTACTAGTATAGAAGTAACTTATATATGAGGATAAACCAAACAGATCCAGATCATTCAGTGGGAAAGAAAGAAAACAATTAGAAATAGAAAACAGTTGTAAATTTGACATTAACACTACGGTTCTCTAACATTGTAGATCTAAGTACACATGTTAAACTTTATTTGAACCAAATCAAAGAATATACGTTTGTAATATACTGCCTTCATGCATTCACTTGTTGAACAAATATTTATTTATCAGTCTGTGCCAAGCTTTCTGCTTGGAACATAAGGATGAAAAAAAAAAAACCAAACATGCTATTATCCTCAAAGAATTTACATTCTATAAAGAGACAAATATTGAAACAGACTTTAGTAAGTGACTCCAAGACTATTAGGCTGTCAGAAATATGTTCTAGATATTTAAGTAAAATATATATAAAAGGTTGATAAATTTATTAATATTTCCTGTCTGAATGAGAAAATGTATTTTGAATTAGTAAAAATGCTTCAGATAGTCATAGTAAAGCATGGAAAATAATTAAACCCAAATAAACTCTATCATTTGAAGAGTAGTAAAATCAGCTAAGGCCTGTCAGACTTTTATTATGAATAAAAGTGTCTTCTTCCATTTTATTCTACCAATATTTCTTACTCCACTTTGATTCAAGCTAACCTTAGCAAATTTCTCAGTAGGCAGAATTCACTCATAAAATAGATCTTCTACTTTCTACTATTAATCATTGTAATGACATAATTTTTAGAAAAATATAACAGTAGAGGACTAAGATTAAGTGATTACTAGTCTCATGACAGATTTTTTATTCATTATTGTTTATTTTTTAAATTTGCAAATGATTTATTTTTAACTTTGAAAATATAAATAAAATATTAACAATATTGAGTTTGCAGTTGTTAATTCTTACAAATAGCCTAAGAGATAATTATTAAAATAAAATAAATTAATAGGTTTTTATTAAAAATATTATATGCCTTGTGAAAATATTAGACCTTCTTTTCAGAATATCAATATTGTTTCATGCAGGCTTAGGTACAATGTCAGCATTCATTTAAATATTATCAAAATGAGTTCATATATATAAATACATGACCAGTGTAATTTCACATCATATAATAACCACAAGAATGGGAAGTTATACTTCATGTATATATTACATTTCAAAATACACTGTCGTGAATATCTAAAAAGAACAAACAAATATTATCAAAATGGGCCAATCACATGACTAAATTATTTACACTGTAATTTTTCTGAATGTTTTCAATATTTGCCCCTTCTCATTATGCTTTTAGTGATATCTAAACCAAGGATGACCATTTCCTCATTAAGAATCCCAAATAATAGTTTCTATTCTCTTAAATTGTGACATATTATTCTTTCTATCTTTATAGATTTGTCCTTAGCTTAGGTAAATCTTCACTTCATTACTAGAACTTTTGTTCATATTAACAAAATAAAAAAGGTAATTTTGATTAGGTACATCAATTCCCTATATATTGTATGCAAATAAATGCTAATCCAAATAATAAAAACACAACCTCCAAAGAAATACCATCTATCTATTTAGTAAACATTTATCAAATACTTATTATGTGCCTGAGCTAGTTCCTGCTTTCATGGCTTTACATTTCAGTGGGACAGACAAAACAACATGAAGTGTATGACAAAATACTATGACGGAGATAGCATTAAAGGCTGTGTGATTTTTGCCTGCACTTGAGCTAACACAAGACAAAACAGACAATATTCTTATTATTGAAATAATAAGAGAAAATGAAAGGCATTCCATAAGGACAAAAGGAAAACAAAGAGAATATAACATATTTGAAGAACTGCAGTTGTTTGGGCTTAAGATGCCAGGGATAGGGAATGCAATGAGATGAGGTGGGCAAGTGTCCTCTCATAAAGTTATTAGGATGGAACTAAAAAATGTGAACTTTACTCTGAAAGCTTTGGGAATATATTGAAATATCAAATGTATATTTTAGAAGCATCATTTCAGCAGGAACATGGTGGCAACATTTGAAAAATAATAGGACAGGAAGCAAGACAAAGCATCACTTCTCCATGATAAGGCATTCAATAAGTATTTGTTCAAGAATAAATTAAGAAGATTTAATGGTTAACATGATATGGAGGATGAAGAAAGGAATTTAGGATAAGTGTCAGGTTGGATTGACTATGTAGAAAGTAGTTTTAGCACAGTGATGTGTTCTACTCAGTCGGGGACAACCTGTGAAATTTTGTATGAAAATACTTCAACTGGCAGTAGCTATGTGGGTCTTAAACTATATAATTTTGTTATGTACTTCTCCTTTTAAAAAAGTGCTTTTCTGTGTCTTCCAAATTTCCTACAGTTAGTATGTTCTACTTTTATAATTAGAAAATATTAAAAACTCAAAAAAGAAAATTTATAACAAAAATTTATTACTGGAATTTTTTTAAAATGGGAAACCTTCCCATAAACATACTCCCTAACCATATTTATATGTAATACTTTGTTACTTATTAAAGCCTTGCTTCACTAAAAATTTACACACTTGGAAAATGATAATGATGCTATAAAATAAATAGTACAAACAAATTTCTATTTCACTACTGCTCATGTGGAGCAATAAACCCACAGAGCAGAACATTTATTGTAACAGTATGTCAGTCTGTACTTGCTTCCCATTGGTGAGAATAAAAAAGGAAACCAAATTAGGGGCAGGCAATCGAAGCACAGGGTCAAGTAATTTGAGACTCTTTTAACTGTTAGAAAAGCAAAGGAAGATAGAAATTGACCAACAGAGATTATCACATTGAACAAAAAGGGGGATGGGGTGGGAGGTGGAATGAAGAGTAGGTAGCTTTTTTCCTTTTAAGAAAGTCTGTAGGTTGAGTAAAAGTTAAAAAATAAACTGTCTAGAGCTAGAACATACCTGCAAATCTTGCCACATCCTCATTCTTCTCTAAAATGTAACTAAATTTAGTAGAGGTAAAATCTCATTTTAAGACAGTCTAAAATAGTAACATTTCAGTTTACTAGCAAGGATCAAGGTCAGTAGGATGTCACTTTCCTTACAGGCTTAAGCCCATAAATATTTGATTTGTGTATACAGCTAACAGGTTTCCATCTCATAGCAAATCATAAAGGAGAAGAGAGGGGCTGCTTCAGATAGACAAGTGGACACCAAGTGTTCTCTCTTCCTCCATCTTCAACCTCTCCAATTGTTCCTTCCCAAGGGCTTATTAATATGATCAAGTTGGTAACTACCCACCAAAGTCCCTCAATCTTTTTCCTCTGTTTGACCAATCTCTCTTAAGCTTATATAAGAAAGCATCTTAAAAACATAGTAGTCTATAATTTCTCACCTACCATTAATCTTTCAGCTCACTGCAATCTGCTTTTTTGTTGATGGTGGGTTTTTTTTGTTGTTGTTGTTTTTGGTACTGGGGATTAAACTCAGGAGCACTTGGCCACCGAGCCACATTCCCAGTCCCATTTTGTAGTTTTTATTTAGAGACAGGGTCTCACTGAGTTGTTTAGCTCCTCACTTTTTGCTGGCTTTGAACTTGCAATCCTCCTATTTTAGCCCTCAGAGCCACTGGGATTATAGGCATGTGCCACTGTGCCCAGCACTGAAATCTGCTTTTATCCCCAACTTTACTATTCTCCTAACTGAAGCAGTTCTTCTAAAAGAGTACTTTTAAAAGTTGTGGAGTGAGCCCATACTACCAGCAACTTGGGAGGCTGAGGCAGGAGTATCACAAGTTCACAACCAGCCTCAGCAACTTAGTGAATCCTAAGCAACTTAGCAAGACCCTATCTCAAAATAAAAAATAAAATAGAGTTAAGGATGTGGTTCAGTGGTAAAGTGCCTGAGCATTCAATCCCCAGTACCGGGGGGGGGGGGGGGGGGGAGTACTTTTAGAAGGTCAACAATGTCTATTCTAAATGGCAATAATTCTAGATAATTTTTAGTTCTTATCATATTTTGTTTCTGAGTGAATAAAAATAATTAACCATTCTCTCCTTGAAATTCCTCTGCCCCATCCAGGACATTAGTATCTCCTTCTTCTATCTTGGCCTCTTTTAATAATAAATACTCTTCTCTTTGCCTCTTAGGTATTGTTATTTCCTAGGATCATCTCATGATAGGTTTCATTCTTTTTTCCCCCCTCAATCTTTTCTTATTGGAAGAATT